AAAATAATTTATAAACAATACATATATATATCTTTGGTTTATGTGATAGGATCAATACCTCAAAAAATAAAAACCCAAAATAAAATAATAATAAAATTTATATTAATTATTATAATTTTAAAATTATTTTTTTTTAAAAAAAAAATATTATCAATTTTAATTTTGTCTTTGTTTTTTACTTGGCTCTTTTTAAAATATATATTCTTCCTGTTGGAATTTATGTGGTGCGTTTCATTTGTTTTAATAATAATTATTATATTTTTTGCTCATATTCTTTATTTTCAAATTAATCAATTATATTAATAGTTTTTTTAAATACAGTATATTTTAGGTAATACAAAAAAAACCAATTTACAATTTATTGTAAGTATAGAATATTTTAATTTCTTTTTTTTTTTTTTTTTTTCAAAATTATAATTTTGTTATTTTTTTTTAGAAATTATTTGTATGAAATTTTTTATCACTATTTAACAATAAAAATAAGTGGGTTAAATAATAACTCTACATAATATGCAAAATCAACTCTTCTTTATAATGTTAGAGAAGAGTCTAATGTTTAAACACAGGCTTATGAAGTCATTATAATCACACACCCACACTTATATATGTTATCTTACATATAAACACACTATAAAATATTCATATACATCCATTCAAAAGCCAACTACACTACAATATTTTTACATTTGTACATATTATTATTTTATTTCCATAATTATTATTACCATTTATATTTTTATTTAATATTACTATCATTTCTTTGTCAAAGATTAAAACTTTAATAAATTTTCAACATTTTTTTTTAAATCTTTTATTCCTCTTCTATTTTAATGTATATATATATTAATTTTATAGTTTTATAATAAATAAATTTGTCATAACCTCATTTCCCTCTTTTTTTTTTTAATAAAATTGTTTATAATTTTTTTTTTGTTAAAAAATCATCATTATTATTTTATTTTTTTATTTTAATATGACACTATTATACCTCTAAGAGAAAAAAACAACTCATATTTATAAAATAGATTTATTCTATCAATAAATCTTTAATATTTTATTTTTTATTATATGTGTTTGTATCTGTTTTCTTATATCAAAAATATTTATTTTATTTTTATTTTAAAAAGGAGGTGGATGCATGCACGCATAAATGCATATATACATTGTATCACATAAAAACAATAATAAAAAAAAGTTTGACCTCATAAAATCCTTTTACCTACCATTTATTTTTACTTTTTTTTCATTTTTACCAATATACACCTACATATTAATACAATATATCAACTCTTTCACATACATAAACAAAAACAACCACACTCACACATTAACTCAAATTAAAAAAACAAAAATACCACCTTTTACCTGCCCACACTCCACACACAAGCACTCTTATATTTATCTCTTATTTACCAATAAAATTTAATGTTACCAACCTAAATATTTCTTTTTTTTTTTTTTTTAAATCAAACCTTTTTTTTTTTTTTTTTTTTTTTTAAAAAAAGTTAAAATCAATAATTTAAATTTTATTATTGTAAAAATTAATATTATACTTGCTTTTTAAAAAAAAAAATTTATTATTTTTTTATAAGTTTTATTTTAAATCAATTTGACGTTACTTTGCTTTTTTCGTATCTTTTCTATTTTTGTTAAATTTTAATTAAATCAATTTAAATTTTTTTTATTTATTTTATTTCAATCCACAAATTAAATCATATGTTTTTTTTTAATTGTCTTTTTATTTCATTTTAAAATAACTTTAATGAAAAAAAAAATCAATCAAATTTGTTGTTGTTGCTGTTATTTTTTTTAATATAGTTTTCTTTTTAAAAAAAAAAAGACTTGTGAATCTATTTTATCTTTATTTTACCATACAAAGAAATCAAAATTATTTAATTTTCAAATCATAAAAAAAAAAAAAAAAACACCCATTTTCACACACCCACATTATCTTTGCACCCATTTAATCAAAATTTTTTTAGCCCTTCTGTGCACATTGTGTGTATGTGTGTTTTTTGTTTTTTTTTTTTTTTCATTTATTTATTTTTTTTTTTTTTTTTTTTTTTAAATAATAATAAAGCACATTATTTCTAACTTTTTTAATTTTTTCTTTAATATTATTTTATAGTTTTTTTATAAACTCCCCATATAAATCCAATTTATTATAATTAGTTCAGTTTATATGTAATAAACAAATCAGCTAAAAATAATAAGACTCTTTTTTTATATATTTTAAATAAATAATATAGCTTTACAAAACTTTTATAATAATAAATCATAAATACAATACCAATTGATAAAGGCAATACTATTAATAATAAAATGATGTCAACTCTTCATCAAGTTAATGATCTTAGTAGAGTTGGAGAAAAACCTGCTTGTTGTATTGGGGCTGCAAGAGGTCATTGTACAGTACATTGCCCAAGAATTGAAGATGTACTTTATTCACAAAGAAAAGGTAAAACCAATAAAGGTGCACAAAGATGGAGATGTAAAGCATGTGGTACAAAATGGACTGTATGTTTATTTATTTTATAATATTTTAAATTCCCAAAAAGAAACCAACTAATTAATTAATTTTTTATTTTAGTCAAAAGGAATTATTCAACCACCTCCAGTAGTACCAGATACAATTGTAAACAGTATTGGTTTTGGTAGTGGCCCAGAAGAATTAACAACAATAGATCAATTAAGAGCAAATACAAGACCATACAAAAAAAATAAAATATTAGATCAATCGATGATACCAACAACACCATTTCCATCATTGTTTAGTGGAGCAAACATAAGTAACAGCAATAGTAATAGTAATAGCTCACCAAATGGTTCACCAATACCATCACCACCATCACCTGTATCATTTTTACATAGAACAACGAACTCATTTGTACCAATTTTACCAACCACAACCTCATCATCATCGAATAATAATAGTGTAATTAGTAATAGTATAAGCAATAGTGTTATTAATTCTTTAAGGCAATCACAAAACTCCACATCATCATTATCATCGTCCACGATTCAACAACAACAACAGCAACAATTATCACAATCACAACAGGGTATTAATAGTTCAAGATCCTCTTCATCATCATCATTATCACAATCCCAAAAAAATGCTCAAACATTAACAACAAAACCTGTAGTTGTTGGAATACCCAATAACAGCAATACTAATAATATGAATAACTCTAGTGGTAGTATTAATAACTCGCCAAACTCAAATTTACAAATTTTAAGTAATAATATAAGCAATATGAGCAATAGTATTAATAGTCCATCAAATAAAAATATTCTATATAATGGTCAACCCTCACCCCAATCTCCAACAAACAATAATAGCAATAATAGTATAAGCAATATAAACAATATAAACAATATAAGCAATATAAGCAATATAAACAATATAAACAATATAAATCCCCAAAATCTAGTTAATGGTATACCAAGACCAAGCCTATCAAATAGCAAACAAGCAATTAAACAATCCAGTACTAATACCAATAACAATAATAGCAATAATAACAATAGTAATAATAACCAACAAACAGTTTCGCCACAACCACCATTATCACCAAAATCATTAAAACATTATCAAATGAATAAACAAATGACATCATCAAGTGGATCATCAGGTTCAAACCAATCATTTACAAATCAAAGTCCAAAAAATAATATTACATCCACAATGATTCATTCAACTTATGGCCAACCAACTCCACCTCCAACTAAAGCACCAGTATCTAGCAAAGCACCAGCAGTTTATCATAATGTACGAATACCATCGCCAACAATTGAAACTTATCAACAACAACATCAATATCAACAGCAACAACAGCAACAACAGCAACAACATCATTTACAACAAAACCCATCACAACCACCAACACCACAAAATAATATTTATCAATCAAACAACCAATCATCAACTATTTTATCAAGACATAATGATTTATTATCACCAATAGATTCACAGATATGGGCACCAATTCAATACAGCTGGGTTCAAACACACTATAATCCATCATCAACATTATTAGAGAGTTTAAAACGTTTAGTAAACTCTATTGTTGTTTTTTCAAATGAAATTAGTGTTGAATTTAGATTAAAACTTATCAACTTTTTAAATATATTAGGCTCACCATCAAGTGAATCTCAATACAATACACCATTAAGCAAAACAGTTTTAAGTTGCATCGATTCTACTGGGTTCAATATAACAAGACACTACCAAATGCTCTACCAAACTATTTCAAAACACCACTCAATGATGGAAGATCAATTCGTACCCCTAACTGAAGTTTATTTCGATGAAAATGAAATAAATAGATTTTTAGTATTTTCAGAACAAGCCCAAACAATTGAAGAAAACTTTGAATTTATATTACGAGAACTATCAAATATACGCGATTCTTTTATAATGAAGAGGGAAAATATAGAAAAGAATATAGTAGAATCATCAAAAATGATTTCTTACAATCACAGCAACATTGGATCAAGTGGATCAAATTTAGAGCAGGCCAAACAAGATACCGCCCGTCTTTTAGAAACTTTAGCACCATTAGAAAGCACATTAAATGGTATGGAAACTAAATTTAAAGCGATTCAAAGAGAAATTGGAATGGTTCAAAGAGTATTTTCATTCTTTGAACTTTTATATAATATCCATATTAGCTATCATCAGTCAATAGTAGAGAAACATTCAAAACAACTATCAACATATATTATAGATGTTATGCAACAAACCCTTTTTAACTGCGATGTTCTTTCAGTAGCATATAACAGAATGAAATCATCAATATACAACAATCAAAACAATGATGATGATTCATTAATAGATACCTCAAATCCATTTATTAATAAACTCACTGATTTAATAAACAAATATGAAAATATTAGGTCATCCTCATCTTTAACAACACCTAATAATTCAACACAGCACCAACAACAGTATAACAATAGCAATAATAATAGTAACAACTTACAACTCTATCAACCACCAAAAGATAAAAAAGTTTTAGCTGTTTACCATACTATGTGTCTAGAGCATCGTGTGCCTGATGATCACCCAGAATCACCAAAACGTTTACAATCCGTTATAAAAGCAATCAATGACTTTGCAAGACAATCTGACCGTTTAATAATTAAAGATGACCCAGAGGATGCCAATGACAAGTGGATTTTAACAGTTCATTCCCCAGAATATCTCAAACAACTTGATGAACTTACAGAAAAACTAGATAGCAACGAAATTAGACCACTCAATGTAAATAATGATGGTGCACAAACTGGAATTAACCAATTTAATTCAAACGGCTCCTCAAATGGAGACTGTGAAGATGGTGATACATTCATATCGAAATCATCATTACGTGCAGCCAAAAGATCAGCAGGTGCAACATTATATGCTATCGATAGTGTAATGAAGGGTAATGTTTCCAGTGCATTTGTTGCTGCTCGTCCACCAGGTCACCATGCTGGCCGTGATGGTCTTACCCAAGGAACAAGCTCTCAAGGATTTTGTCTTTTAAATCATGTTTGCATTGGTGCCAAATATGCTCAACTTAAATATAATTTAGAAAAAATTGCAATCATCGACTTTGATGTTCACCATGGTAACGGAACTGAAGAAATTTTAGCAAATGACCAAGGCTTCTTTTTCCTTTCAATTCATATGTTTGAAGAAGGATTCTATCCTGGTAGCGGTGGTTCAAATTCAATGGCTATGAATGATGACGATAACTCAATCTCTATAAACCCCTCGTCCAATGTTGTAAATATACCTTTAGATCCAAAGAGCTCTGCCCATTCTTTCTTAAAAGCTTTTTCTGCAATCATTGACAAACTTAATGATTACCAACCAGAATTAATTTTAATATCTTGTGGTTTTGATGCCCATTTAGAGGATAATTTAGCTTCGCTTTGTTTGTTAGAAGAAAACTATGTCGAAATTACTCGTCAACTTCGTAAAGTAGCTGACCGTTGGTCCAAAGGAAGGTTGGTTTCAATTCTAGAAGGTGGTTATAATATAAATGCTTTAAGACAATGTACAATCGCTCATTTATCTGCTTTGGTCGAAACTGATTAATAAAAAATTTAAAATGTAATCAAAATAAAATTTAAAAAAAAAAATAAAATAAATCTTTTGTAAAATATTTAAATTGTAAATTTGTAATTAATGTTTTTTTTTTTTTAAATATTTTTAAGTTTATTTTTTTTTTAGTTTATAAAATTTTAAAATCTCTTTCTTTTATTATTGTTATTATTTAAAGGTTTCTTATTATTTGGTTTATTTGGAGTTGATTTACCTTTGGCTGGGGCTGGCTTAACTTTAGCTGGGGCTGGTTTACCTTTACCTTTTGATTTAAATGAATCTTTACCATTCTTTTTAACACCACCTGAATTTTCTAACATAGAGGCAAATTCATCAGCATCCATAAATGAATCATTTCCTTTCATTGATTTAATAAATTCTGTTTCCTCTTCGTCATTTTCTTCTTCATCATCTTCGCCAAAATCTGGAACAATAGTATTATCTCCTTCGTCTTCATCCTCGACCTCTTCATCACCGAAATCTGGAATTTGAATATCGTCATCTCCCTCTTCATCGTCATCTAAATCAACATTATCTTCTTCGATGTCATCTTCTTCGTCTTCTTCACCTTCTTCATCATCATCCTCCTCTAATAAGTCATCTAAATCACTTGGAACATCACCTAATAAACCATCTTTAACTAAATTATTAAATTCCTCTTCGTCAACATTAAAATCTCCTTCTTCTTCATTATCTTGATCTTCATCTTCATCTTGTTTTTTCTTATTTAATTTTTTAGATGCTTTTGGAATTTCGTTTTCAAAATCTTCATCTTCAAAATCTGAGGCTTCTAAATCACTATAGCTGTATTCGGCATCTAAATCTGAAAGCATTTCTTCATCAGAATCTCTATCTTCAGTTTTGTAACCTAAAGCTTCATCTAATTCTTTATCATCGACAATGAATTGACCGGATGAGGATGATGATTTCTTTTTAGATTTGACACCTGAAGTTGAAGCAATATCACCGTAAATGTTTAAGAACTGTTCGTCTGGTTTGGCTGTAAAGAAATCTTCACCAATCTTAGATTTAGTAACTTGTAAAGTTGATTGTGGACCTTTTCTGTTCTTTGGTCTTGATAAAGCAAACTTCTCAAGGAAAGCAGATAATGTGAAAAGTGTTGTTGGATTACCTTGGAATTTAATTTGTTTTTCTTGTAAAAGATCTCTGGCGAATTGGTTAATAGTTGGATGTTGGTGAATTGAATATAAATTGAGTTCCCAAAGACATGATAATTGACCATTAGCTTCTGATGGTTCGTGATGAAGTGGATCATAACTTGGTTCGGTTGAAGATTCTTCACCTTCTTTTGGCTCTTTAATTGGGGTTTGTGGATTAGTTGAAATTAATGAACCAAATTCTGAATTAAATTTAATAATTTCTGAAATTAAAATTAAAGTTGAGGCAGAGAATGAAACAATTTGGTTAAATGAAAATTGTAAAAGTCTTTTAATAATAGCTTTTGCTCTGTCAATATTTTCATCTTGTTTGATTGCTCTAAAAACTAAATTTAAAAATGATGTTTGATCAAATTGTGATAATTTTTCGAATCTATTTAAGGTATGATATAAATTTAAATAAAATTGATTGGTGATTTCCTATTGATAATTTTTTTTTAAAAAAAAAGAAATATTAATATTATTTTTTAAAAAGGGATATAAATAATTTTTTTTAAATAACTTACTGGTGTGTGTTGTTTAATTTCAAAAAGAAGGGATAAAGTTTGAATTACTTTATTAATTGTATTTTTTCTACATGATTTAAATAAAGTTTTAATTTGGGTGTCATCACTAAATTTGAAAAAAAAAAAAAAGAGAGTTAATAAAAATTTATATAATAAATGATGTGATTGTCGAAAAAAATAATAACCTACATAACAGTTGTATCTTTAGTGTATGAATAAGCTTTTCTAATACCAAAAATTAATAATGAAATTGCAGAGCTGTTGATATTTGATTTATTTGAGAAAAAGGTGAAATAAAGAGTAATAAGACGGTGAGAGATTTCTTTGATTTCGGCAGCACTTGTATTATCTTTTTCTGAAGCAACTTGAATTTTATTTAAAAAGTATAAAGCATTATATTGAGCTTTTGAGGCATTGTTTGGTCTATATAAAAATAATTCAACTTCTCTAATGATAACCATTTTCATTGATGGATGTGATTCAATAAGCTTTTCTAAAAGCTTAACAACTTTGCTTGCATTACTACCTTCATCATCACCAATTTTATTAACTAAAAGTGTTAATAAAACTTCTTCTTGTTCTGGTTTCTTTAAAAGAAGGTATTGAATTGTAGCAGTGGCAATCATACGAATTCTTGAGACTGTATCTCTACCTAAAACTTCTAATAATCTAATAAAAGCTTGATATCTTGATTTTAATAAATCTTCGAAAAACCATTGTACTAATTCCATTGGTTTTGAACTTTCAATATTGGTTCTTTCATTGAAACGTCTGTTAATTTTAAATAAAATATTAGTAAGTATTCTTTGAAAATGGTGGTGATAAATAATAATAATATAATTACTTTAATTTGGTATTTGGTAATAATGAATTTACAAATAAATCTTTTAATGAATTAATAGCAAAATCTCTTTCTCTTTCAGATTTCTTTGCAGCTAAATTTAAAAGAATATCAAGACTTGATAATCTGAACATTGGTGCTTTTTGGATTAAAAGTGTAATAGCTGAAATTCTATCTCTAATTGTACCAGTGTGTTGAATTTTTTCTTTCCATTGATCATCTCTTGAACCATTTTTATTGAAATCTAAAATATAAAATAATTGAAATATTAATATTTTTTTTTTTTTTTTTAAAAAAAAGTAAATAAAAACAAATACAAACCTTGAAGATATTCTTCTACTTTTTTGTTATATAAACCTTGGGCTTTAGTAAACATTGGATTTTTAGCATCATTATTTGGTTTTTCAATTTTAATTTCTTCACTATCATCTTGAACTTTTTCAACTGGTTTAGCGGTAACTTCTTTTTCTTTCTTTTCATTTTTTTCTTTCTTTTCATTCTTTTCATTTTTTTCATTCTTTTTGTTATCTCTTGGTTTGGTTATTGGTTTTTCAGATTTTTTATTATTGTTGTTGTCTTTTGGTGCACCATCTTTTTTATCTGTTTTAAAGAATTTATTTGAGAAAGTGTTCATACTCTTTTCTGATTTGGTTTGTTGTGCTGGTTGTTTATCTTTATTGAATTTAGTGTTATTTGGTTTTTTATCATTTTTATTATTGTTTGATTTTGGTTTTTGTTCAACTTTTTTATTATCTTTTTTATTATCTTTTTTATTATCTTTTTTATTATCTTTTTTATTATCTTTTTTATCGGTTGGGGCAGCTGCAGTAGCAACTTTTGTATTTTCTTTTGAAACCATTATTATTTACTATTATTTCTATTTCAAATAATATTTGATAATAGGGTCTGTGAAAAATGAAAAATAAAAAATAAAAAAAAAAATTACAATATCTCGTTTTTTTTTTTTATTTCGTTTTTTTTTTTTTTTTTTTTTTTTAAAATTTTTTTTTTATTTTTTTTAATTTTTTTTAATTTTTTTTAAAAAAATAATTATTTGTTATATTTTTATCTTTTTAATGAAATAATATTTATTATTTCTGTCTTCTGAATTAAAACACAAAGATAAAATATGTATAAATGTTTTAAAAAAAATTATAAAAAATATAATTTAAAAAAAAAAAAAAATATTAAAGTTTCAAAATTATAATAAATAACTGGTAATATCCATTATTTATTTATTTACAAAATATTATTTTAATATTTGATTGTTTTATAAGTAATAAATATTTTGTTATATAAATATCAAAAATTTAAGTTGATATTTTTTTAAAAAAAATTTAATTTTTTAATTTTTTTTTTTTGTTTTTATTTTAATTTTTCAAAAAAAAAAATAATTTTAATCATTAAATAACTTTCTAAAAATATTTTTTACCAATTTTTTTTTTTATATACTATTAATAATAATAATAAATTAATAATAAATTAATAAATAATAAATAAATAAATAAACAATAAAGATGTCAGTTCAAGCAGGTATGATTGTTGGGATCATTATCCCAGTAGTCGTTGCATTTATTTTCATTATTATATTATTTAAAAAAAGTTTAAAGATTATAAAAGAAAGAGAAGTAATGATCATAGAAAGATTTGGATCATTTCATACTATTTTACATGCAGGTGTACATTGGATTCTTCCATTTATTGATCGTCCAAAAACATTTTATTATTCATATTATGTCGATACACCAGCAGGTAAAGAATTAAGAGAATCTTTAAATTTAACAAGAATTTCAACTCAAAATGAAGTTATTGACTTACCAAAACAGTATGTATCTTTATAATACAGGTGGTATCATCTATTTCTCATACTAACTATTGGTTTTTTTTTTAGAAATGTTATCACTAGAGATAATGCTTCTTTATTTTTAGATGCAGTTTTATCATATAAAATTATAAATCCAAAACAAATGATTTATAGTTGTGTAAATTTACCAAATATTTTATCAAAATTATTACAAGCTCAATTAAGAAATTTAGCAGGTACTCTAGAAATTGATCAAATTATTGAGGAATCACATCTTTTAAATGCATTAACAGGTTTAATGAACAGCGAAGCTTCAAAATATGGTGCAGAGATTGGTTTTGTTAAAATTCAAAGAGTAGAGGCAATGTCATTAAATCAAGTTTTAGCACAAAAGAAAAATACAGAGCTCCAAAATAAAGAGGTATGTAAATTACAAAACAAAACAAAATATATTTTATATGTTATATTAATTTAATATTTGTTTTTGTTTAAAGATTATTATTACAGCTAAAGCCCATAAACAAACTAAAGTTATTCAAAGTGAGGGTCAAAGAGATTCAATGATTAAAAAAGCAGAGGGTGAGGCCCAAGAAATTATTTCAAAGGCAAAAGGTTTGGCACAAGCTAAAATTAATGGAGCACTTGCCGAAGTTAGATCAATAAAGGAAATTTCAAGAGCAGTTGGTATCAGTAAAGATTCGAAACTAGATGTTGCAAAATATATTCTCACTATCAAATATTTAGATGCATTAAAGTTTATAATGGGTTTACCTCAAACCTCCACAAATCTTTTATCTGAAGAAACTGTAGACCTCCAATCACTTCCATTATTTGGTGTACAAAGTGTCGCCATACCAGCTTCATCACAATTTATAAGATAATCAAATAACTATAAATAAATAAATGAATGAATAAATAAATAAAATTTTCTGTATATATAAAATTTAAATAAAAATACATGTATTTCCTACAATTTTTTATTTTATTAATTATAGTTTATTTCAAATAAACTATATTTATAATGACTCTAATTAGGATTTGAAATAAGTTCAAATTCTTTTGCCTTTGCTCTGAATTCTTCAGCTTTCTTTTCAAGTAGTTTCCCAGCTTCTCTGATGATATTTCTTGCTTGACCTTCGCCAAACTTTCCCAAATTTACCTTTCTTGCTAATTCATCTGGTGGACATACAGCTATTGATTTAACAGTTTTAAAACCAGCATTCCAAAGTGCTCTTGCTCTAGCTTGTTTTACACCATTGATTTCGACTAAAGGGATAATTTCGGATTTTACTCCTTTATCGAGTCTTTGGGTATAGAGGTTCACTAAATGCTCCAATTCAATCCATCCTAATTTTTTACAAAATAATGATACCATCCAAGAAAAAGATCCAGCCTGTTGCATTAAAGTTTGAACAGAGCCACGATGAAGCTTGAATTTATTTGCAGCCATATATAATTGTTGTTCGTGTACTAAATCATACAATACCATTGCTATGTAAAATCTTTTATATTTGAGTTCTTCTTTGAATTCGGTTGCTTCAAACCCATTTAAACGTTGAATCATATATTCCTCGCTGATACCTATTACATTGGCTACTCTGGCTTTGGATGGTTTCTTTAAAATTTCTCTAAATAAATTGATATAGTGGTTCCAGTCAGTGACCTCTGGAATATTGAAGAATGGTGTAGTAATGTAGCACATATGTAATGGTTCTGAAATAACAACTGAACCTTGATATGCTTTTTGGAGTTCTGCATGAACCAGTTTGGATTCTTTTATATTTAAACACGATCTAAAGCAAGCAAAACCAAAGCCTGTAGCCTCGTACCTAATTGAATCTTCAGTGGGTCTGTTATTTAAATCTAATGTGGCATTCTTGTACATTTTTTTATTTTCATCAAACTTTATCTCTTGAATATAACCTTCTTTTAATAAAGTTTCTATTCCAGTTTTAACCAACCCTTCCATATACTCGTATGGTTTCATCCCTTTTGGTGGTTTAATATGTGTAATATAATATGTAAATGATAAAAAATGTAATATCGAAAATCTCTATAATATAAATAAATATTAGTTAAATGAATGTTATTTAAATAAAAAAAAATACTTACACTATCACCAATACCTGAGCAAATTGAATCCAAAACAATTTTTTGAAATGATTGTGCTGATTTTATACATGAAATCAATGGATCGAGTGGAGAGTTTAATAGTTTTTTACATTTTTCAGCTTGATGAGGTTCACACATTAAAATTGATTCACCAAAATCATCGATACCTGCCCTACCTGCTCTTCCCACCATTTGCCTGTATACTCTATTGCCAATTAAATCTCTGCCCATAGTGGGTGATCTTAATATAACTCTTCTTGCTGGTAAATTTACACCGGTACTAAGAGTTGATGTTGCACATAAAACCAATAAACTACGCTCTTTAAAGCCTTTTTCAATAACCTCTCTTTCATCATTTGTCAAATCAGAATTATGATATGCTACGCCAGCTAAAATCATCTTTTTTAATTCTTCATCGATTTTGCTTCCATTTGATGATTTTAATAATTGAATTAGTGTTTCTCTTTGATCTCTTTTATCTTGTAAAATGTTTTCTGGAAATTTCGTTGCTAAACTTGTTGCTAAATTAAATGTCATTGCTTTAGATGGGCAGAATACAAGGACTGAGTGCTTTGGGATGATTTCAGAAATTAGTTCCAGAGTATGAGATTCTTTATCATTTGGACTTTCTAAAGTCTTAACTAAATTGTTATCTTTATCATAAAGATTATTTCCAATTTTGATGTACTCGGTTAATGGTACTGGACGAAAATTACCTTCATAAACACCACCACGAATCCAATTCTTCAGGTTTTGAATGTTTGGAATGGTTGCAGACATACCAACAATTTGAATTTCACCTTTTGACATAAACAAGAGTTTTGAAATTAGAATTTCTAATAGTTCTCCTCTATCACCATCACCAATCATATGAAGTTCATCTACAACTACACAACCAATATCCAATAGTGACCCATCTTCAATTAGTTGATTAACAATTATATTGGCCTTTTCTATAGTTGATATTAGCATTCTTGGGCCCGGTACAACCGGCATGGTACCATTACAACCAAAATACCCCTCAACTTGGAATGAAAGGGCTGATGCAAATTCTGACATTGCTTGAACTCTTTCGGTTACAATACTGACAAAAGGAAATATAAATAATGACTTCTTTTTTCTAATTAATAAATTTCTAAATAAAATAATTTCTGCAACCATTGTTTTGCCACCCGATGTTGGTAATGAATAAACTAAATTTTTACCCAACAATAAATCGTCACTGGAGAGACACTCCTTCTGCCAATCATACAGATTTCTTAAACCTTTTCTTTTGTAAATATCTCCAACGGTTTTTGGTAATTTGAATATTTTTTCACAGCATTCCGTTATATCATTGCTTACTAAATTTTTATCAATTGTTGGTAATGTGTAGTGAATGATTTTTTTAGTATTGTTGACGTATGATTTAGTATCTGTTGTTTTTGTATTTATTGGGGAATCGTTTGACGTGGTTTTGGTTGTGTGAGTTGCTAATGAAGTTGATTTAAATTCGCTGTATTGTGGGTTATTAAAGGATTCTTCTAAATCCTGTTGTTTTTTTGAGGTTAGTCTTAAATTATAGTTTAATTCATCTAAAAATGATTGGCTGTGCGCAACTGCCTCTTCTAAATCCTTTTCCGTTATTTCTTCATCATTCTTTGAATCTCCTATTTCTTTTTTTATATCTTGAGATATACCACACACAAATTGGCTGGTTGAAATATCAAAGTCCTCAATATCAATTTCTTGCAAAATACTGTTGTATGTTATTCTATTATTATCAATATTACTATCGTTATCATTAATGTTATTACCATTGTTACTATTATTATTCACATTGTTATTGTTTATACTATGGTCAGGGGGTTTAGTTAATAAAGAGTTGTTTTTAAAATTTAAAACATTACTTTTGATATTATTGGTATTATTGTTATTGGTAGAATTGCTAAAACTATTTACACTATTTACATTTACATTATTTATACTATTTACATTTACATTATTTACACTGTTTATACTATTTATTCGATTTATATTATTTATTGGATTTTTTATTAAAGTAACACCACCATATGGTTTATATCCACCAAGTTGGGGAGACACATGATCTTTAGTTATTATTTTAATGTTTTGTGGTTGTTGTTTTGGGGGTGATGGGTGTTGTTTAGGAGGTGATATTATTGGTTGTTGTTTAGGGGATATTTGCTGTTTAGGGGGTGATTGTTGTTGTTTTGGGGGTGATGGGTGTTGTTGTTTAGGAAGTGATAGTACCGGTTGTTTAAGAGGGGGTAAAGCTGGTTGTTGTTTTGGGGGTGATGGGAGTTGCGGTTTTGGAGGAGATGATACTGGTTTTACAATTGGCTGTGGAATAGGTTTTGCTGTTGGAGCTGGGTTCAAATTTTTTTGTTGTTGAGGAATTAGAGATGGGTTTTGTGGTATTGTTTGAATTGGTAATTTTTTATTTTGTAGTGGTTGTGGAGCTGTGGATATTTGTTGTTTTTGTTTATTCATAAAATCTAGTATATTGTTTTTATTACTATTAATGTTGTTACTATTAAATAAAGATGGGTTTTTGATTATATTTGGAGATTTCAATAAAACTTTTTCTGTCTTAATAGTCTTTGATACTTCAAAGCCATTATCTGTAAATTCAAAGGTTCTTTTTGACATTTTTATTATTTAATATCATGTTATTATTTACTATTTCTTATTAGACCCTATTTAGATATTGTTATTAGTGAACCTATACAAAAATAATACACAAAAAAAATATAAAAAATGAAAAATAAATAAAAAAAAAAAAAAAAATTAAAAAAAATAATTTTTAAAAAACTTTCTTGGAAATAATAATAATAAATAGATAAAAAAAAGAGGGGTATTTAAAATGTGTGAAAATATTTATTTAGAATTTTATTATTATTAATCGTAAAAATTTAAAATCTTTATGTTTTCTGGGATTATATTAATGTTTTTTAAAGTATCATAATGATTTGAAGATAATTTGAGTTTAATTAAATTATTTGGTAAATCGCCTCTATTGAAATTTTGACTAAAAATTTTACCTAGATCCAAGTCAGTGACACTTGATGGAATTTTGAGAGTGCTATTGAAGTTATTTCCAAATGACAATCGAATTAAATCTGGTGGTAATACACCATCTCTTAATGGTTTATTGAATTGATTTCCAAATGAAAGATGTGTAACGCTAGAGGGTAAGTTGCCGTATGAGAGATCTTGATTAAACTCTTCGCCAAATGAAAGGTACTGGACATTCGATGGTATAACATTTAAATATATTATCTGATCAAATAGGTCACCAAAAGAGAGCTTTGTAACACTGGAGGGAATATCTTTAACTTTTAACTGTTGATTAAATTCATCACCAAATGTAAGTTCCTCGACACCGTCAGGTATAATAAGATGTTCTAATGGTTGGTTAAATGCCCCGCCGAATTTCATTTTCTTTACACTATTTGGAATACTACCAACTTTCAAATATTGAAAACTTATGTTTAGAGTTAAATCTGTTACACTTGATGGAATAATTCCTTTTAAAAGTGGTTTCTCTTCACTTCTACCATAGCCTAAATCTAATTGGGTTACACTTGATGGAATATCACCGATCTGTAAATTTGAACTACATGAAAGCTTTAATTTGGTGACAGATAAAGGAATTGAATTTTTAATATTTGTATTTGAAAAATTTCTTCCAAAGGTTAAATCGGTGAGCATTGGTGGAAGAAAGTGACGATCCAATGGTTGATTAAATTCTTCACCAAATACTAATGTGGTTACATTTTTTGGAATATTACCGTAACGGAGCTCTTGATTGAATGAATGGCCAAAAGTTAAACTTGTGATACTTAGAGGTAATTCGAATGGATTGAATCTATGATTAAAATAGTAACCAAATGTAAGTTTGAAAACACTAACTGGAATGTAACCCTTTCTAATTGGTTTGTTGAATGAAGCCCCAAAAGTTAAATCATTGACACCAAATGGTATATCTCCTTCGTTGATTTTTTGATTGAAACAATAACCAAACTTTAGTTTTTTAACACTGGCGGGAATAAAACCCGGGATGACCTCTTCATTAAAATAATAACCAAAACTTAGTTGGGATATATGATCTGGGATATCACCGGCTTTTATTTTTTGACGGAACTCTGAACCAAAAGAAATTGATGTAATGTTTCTTAAAATATCTTCTTTTATAAAACTCTTATGAATTAATACTTTTGAGGTGTATTCTTTAAATCTATGCTGGTCTATTGCTGAGGAGTCTTCAATTTCGAAAAAGTAATGATGGTAAAAAAACAAAATTAAATTTCTGATGTATACATTTCTCCAAACTTTAAAGAATAATCTATCGAATTGCTCTAGATTTTTATAATACTCCTCTTCTCTATCTTTATTAAAAACTGAATTCTCTAAACATACTATCATTAATAATAAACTATAACCATATTTTTTATCAAGATAAGCTTTGCCATAATAAGCTTTTTTAAACTTTGATTTATTAAATATTGGTTCGTTATTATATTGTGTGATTTTATTATTTTTATTATTTTTATTATTTTTATTAAATTTCTCTTTTTCATCGATTGCTGCAGGAATTGTTTTTTGAGGTGGTAGTGGCAGTGTTGGAATTGGTGCCGCCCTATTATTGTTATTAATTTTATTATTAATATTAATATCATTAACATTTTCTTCTTGTGATGCTAATTCTTCCTTTTCAAATTTTAGTTTTTCTGATTGGCCATCAATGGTTTCATTATTACTATTATATTGTTTGCTATTAGTGGTATTATTATTTTCATTATGATTATTAATGTCTTTTTTTATATAACCAACACTTTCATTTATAACTGAATGAAAAAATGATTTTTTTGAAAACTTTGAATTGCCTTGGGAGCTGTATTTACTATTAACAATATTATGTTCATTCTTTTTCTCATAATAATTGTTATTGTATCTACTATTTCTGTCTTCTATATTGCTGCTATGGCTATTATAGATGTAATCTTGATTGGTACTCTGGCTGTTTGCGACTATATCACAATCTACACCTATCTCTATTCTACTATTACTAATATTATTATAGTTATTCTTGTTACAATCTTCGTTTTTATAGTTGATGTGGTTTCTATTTTTGCTATACACACTATTATATCTATCTACTATTTCACTATTATAATTATAGTTCTTTTTATTAATAACTCTACCATTATGATTACTATAGCAATTGATGTTTTTATCATCCCATTCATTATATATATAATTATTAATTTGGATATCTAAAGAATTTGATTTCTCTGTATTGATTTCTTGGTCGTTTATATCTGGATTTTCGTTTTGTGGACATACTGTATCCCTTCTTTCCTTTTCTTTATTCCTTTCTTTTTTTGCATTTTCTATTGATGAATCTAGTGATTTTAAAAGGCTTTTCATTGAAAGAATTGACTTTTTTATGTCTGAATCGGGTAAGTTTTCATCGCTATCGCTATCATATTGGGTATTTTTTGTTTTTTTTTTTTTTTTATTGTATTCGTTATCGTCACTACTATCACTTTCGGTGCTACTGATGCTACTGATGCTACTATCGCTACTGAAATATTCACCATCGCTAGCTTCAATATCACCCTCTTTAAATAGTTGCGATATTATTTCACTTGAATTTGATTCATTATTTATATTATTATTATGATAATTATTACTATGATTATTATTATTATGATTCTTAAAAGTATTATGGCTATTATAACTTCTATAATAATTATTATTATAGCTATATTTTTTTTTGGGGGAATAGAAATATTGGCTCATATTTATATAAATATGTCTTCAGTTTAAACCATAACTAAATGGAAATAAAAAAAATTAATTGTTTTTATTATGAAAAATATGAAAAAAAATGAGTAGTTTTTGCAATGAAAAATTTTTAAAAAAACTAAAAATTAAAATTTTTAAATGAAAAAAAAAAAAAAAAAAAAAATCCCCATTAAAATTAAAATAAAAAACAAAATTAAAATTAAATAAAAATAATTATTAAAAAAAAAAATTTATGTTATAATAAATAAAAATAAAAATGAATAAATTAATACTAATTTTGAAAAAAAAAATTATTTTAAAATATTAAATAGGATGACCTTTATTTAGAAATTTATTGGTAGATAATTTTAAGGATGTTAAGGTTGGCTGGAATTACACCTTCTAAAATAAAACCGAAAACATAAGTAGCATGGGCATTAATTGAATTTTGGTATGATGGAAGACCTAAGATACCGTTGTTTAATCTGACCATATTCCAAAGGGAGGCATCACTGTTGTCACGTAATTTGAAGGTGGAATCAGTTGAAATGTAAATTTCTTTGATATTTCTGTTACCATCATTGTGAATTGTGATATCATATTGTGAAAAAGTTTTACCACCTCTTGAACCATCGGTCCATCTACCAATGAGTCTTGAAGTTAAATAGACAGTTCCAGCAGCTGATACAATGGTTGGTTGTGGATCTCTGGTTGGTCTTGGTTTATGTGGGTGTGGATGTGGCTTTGGATGTGGTAAACAGATACAATCATCATGAGCAATATGGCAAACCTCACCATAGTTACAACTTTCTGGACCACATTGCAATGGATGGTGATTTGGGTATGGATCATAACGAGCTGGTTCATTATGGTTGCTCTTTTCGCCTAAACGGGCATTGGCAATAGTGAAGGTTAATAATAAACCTAATAAAATATATAATACTTTCATTGTTAATAATTGAAATAAAATAAAATTGTTAATTTAAATATAAATTTTAAAAAATTAATATAGGTTTTAAATATTTTTTAAAATTAAATTGAAATGAATGAAATAAAAAAAAAATTTCCATCTTTAAATATTTTTTTACTATTTTTTTTTAATAGAGATAGCCAAATACCAGGGAATTTAATTTATTTAAAAGATGATTATTATATCATTCCCATTAAAGTATATCATAGTAATACTTTTAAATTTGAACATTACCAAAAACCATTAATGGGGGTGTAATAATTAAAAATAAAGAATTAATTTTAAAACTATAATTCATATTTTTACAAAAAAAAAACTAACCTTATATTTTCAACCAATAAAACATAAGAATAAAAGACTTCAAATTAATTTATTAATTATAAAAACATAAAAATAAATAAAATAATTTCACATGATAAAAAAACAAAGATATAAAAATATTTTTATTTTATTTGTGTGGGTGTGATAACCAAAAATACTTTCAATACTATTTTTTAAAATATTGGAACCTGAGAAGAATTATTTTAGATTTTTAATATTAATGTAAACAATGACTATAGATATTATTAGTAAGTAAATCTGAAAATCAAAAAAAGAATTCAGATGGTGGTTAAAAAAAAAAAAAAAAAAAAAAAGGGTAATAATAATTGTTATTTCTTTTTTTATAAAGCTAAATATATTTTTTTATATATTTATGTATAATATAATTAAATTTATTTTATTTATTTAAATTTTTTAATTTATTTTATTAAATTTTTTTTTTTTTCTTTTTTTTTTTTTTTTGTGAGTGTATCATTTTGGTGATGTTTTGATGAGGTGTTGTTGCAATTTGTATTATTTCATGTTATATTATATTTAAAAATTTATTATTATTATTATATTTATTATTATATTTATTATTGTTATTTTGTTGAGTTTGTAGAAGATGGTTTGCGACGCAATAAAGAGTCCCAATGAGGTTTATTTGACATATATTCATGTCTTAATCGATTTAAAGCTTCAATAATTTCTTCACAACTAGGTCTTTGTAATTGCTCTTGATCAACACATTGTCTGTAAAGGTTTTTAAGACCTTCTGGTGTATTTGCTGGTAAGGTTGGTCTAAGACCCTCTTTAGAGTTTAACATAATTTGGAAATCCATTTTGATGTGTGGATACTCGCTGTATGGACGAGAGTATTCGCCATTAATAACTCTCATAATAAGTTCCCAAAATACAATACCAATACTATAAATATCTGATTTAGTTGTATAAATTGAACCATTACCAACTGCAACTTCTGGTGAACAATAGGCAAAGGTACCACGAATTTTACTTAAAGTTTCTAAATTATCGGCAGTATTAAAACGACTTAAACCAACTATTTTTGAAAAAAAAAGAAAAAATTAGTATACTAATTTTTAAAATAAATAATTAAATAAATAAATAAATAAATAAATAAATAATACTTACAATCACTAACTTTACATTCCCAATCTTCATTTACTAATAAATTTAATGATTTAAAATCTCTGTGTACAATTTGGGGGGTCCAATTATGAAGACATTGAACACCTAAAGTCATTTGCATTGTGAATTGGAAAAATCTATCCCAACCTATTTCATATTCTTTAGTATTCATTACATGATAAAGCGAATCACGGCTACAATATTCCATAACCATACAAAGCTTTGGTTCGATACAAGCACCATAGAAAGTAACCATAAATGAAGAACGAATGGAGCCCATGATTTGAAATTCTTTTTTAAATTCTTCTAATTGTGATTGAGTAGTAATAGCTTTGAGTACTTTGACTGCAACCACTTTACCTTTATAAAGACCCTTAAAAACTTTACCTGAACTACCAGAGCCTAATTTTAATGTATATTCTAAATCTTGATGATCAATAACCCAATGTTCGAGATTAGTTAAAGTTTCCTTTAAATCGTCGGAACTAATGCTACCAGTGCTGTCCATGCTATTTGGAGTATTTGATCTTAATGATTCCATTGATCTATTAGCTACCCTTCTCTCTGGAACATTTAATGTACCGGCTCCACTTGTGGTTGTGGTTGTGGTTGTTGTGTGACGTTGTGCTTGTTGTTGTTGTTGTTGTTGCTGTTGTAATAATTGTTGATCTCTTAATTGCGAACAACTCTTTGATATCTTTATAAGATGTCCTTTTGGAATACCAATGCTGTCTAAAGTCTTCTCGTCGATATCCAATAAAAGATCCATAAAAATTTCTTCCTTTACAAAATTTAAATAATATTGTTCCAATTCAATAGATTTTAACCAATTGAAAATATCTGTTACATTCTTTAAAAAATTTATTACTTTTACATTGCCCCCTGTGAGAGCTAATTCATAACATGTTTTGCCTTCATTTCCTTTAACTGTAATATCTGCACCTGCTTTAACGAGTATAGTTACTAAATCTTCTCTACCAAGATGAACTGCAAAATGTAATGGACTTTCACCTCTTGAATTTAATACATTTACTTCTGCTCCAGCCTATATAATAAATTTAAATATTAAAAATATTAATAAAATTATAAAAAAAAATAACCACCACCACCATTATATATTATATATTTATTTTACATACCTCTAATAAAATATTAACCATTAAGACACGTACATTATTATTAAAAATTGATTTATGAAGTGGTGTTTCACCATTTTTGTTTTGAGCATTTATATTGACCCCCTTCTTTAAAAATAATTGGAATGGTTCGTGTAAATTTGGTGATTTAAATTTTTGACAAAAATAGTGAAGTGCTGAGTTTCTATCATTGTTTATTGTGTTTACATTAACTTCATCGTAACCAAGTAATAACATTAAAATTTGATCATCACAATTTGATGCTGCTACGTGCAATGGGGTATAACCACTTTTATCTTGTACATTCATATCCATTCTAAAAATAAAAATAAATAAAAAAGAAACCATTGTTAGTAACTGTGTCCAGTCGTTGCTACCCTATTGTTATTTGTTGATTAACTTACCTATTTGCATGATAAAATGTTAAAATTTCCTTAACTATATCATATGATCCATTTCTTAAAGCTGCCATTAATGGTGTTTGGTCCATTGAATCACATTCTAACAGTTTTGTTTTTTCACTTCTTTTTGTTAACCTTTTTTTAACTGCTGCTAAATCCCTGGCTGCTACAGCTTGGTGTAGCTTATTAATATTTTTATTGTTCATTATTGTTGGATTTGTTAAATTTGTGGAACTCCTTCTAGGTCTATCAGTAGCCCAAAATGATTTTCTTTCAACTGATGTAGAGATTGGTGTACTATTTTGTCCAAGTGATAAACTATGTAATGGTGGTAGTGATGATGTTGAGGGTGTATTTGTTAATGGAGTTGAACTTTGAATAGGTATAGTAGCTGTTGTTGGTGTAGTAGTGGTGGTGGTGGTTGATGCTAAATTTATATTTGATGTATTCTGTATATTCTCTTTAATATCTTTATTTGTCTGTGTTGAGGAACCTTTATTATTCATGATATATATAAAAAAAAAACTATATAATTATATTTTTATTTGTTTTTTTTCTTTGTTATTATTAATAATGTTTAATTTGACTTCTTCTTTCCTCAAACACACTACTAATATTACTATTTATTTTTTCTATTATTATTTTTATTATTATTATTAATTAATTTATTTTTATTTTATTTTTATTTTATTTTATTTTATTTTATTGTATTTTTATTTTTATTTTTATTTACTACTCCTATCTTCCTTTTCTATTTACTGTTATTATTTGGTTTTTTTGTTGTATATATTTTTATTAAATACTACTATTTTTCTTTAAATAAATAAAATATTAATATTAATTTTTTTTTTAAAAAATAGAAAAAATAAAAAATAGAAAAAAATAAAAAAAATACCAAAAAAAAAAAAAAAAAAAAAAAGATGGGTGAGTGTGTGTGAAAGTGTTGGTTTGTGTGTGTGTGTTTATTATATACAAGCTTTAACACTATAAAATAACATTATAAAAAATAAATAAATAAATAAATAATATAAAAATATAATTATTATATAATAAAATAATTATAAAATATAACTATTTTATCTATCTAAAAAAAAAAAAAAAAACACTTAAAATAGTGTAAATTTAATTATTTATAATTGTATTTTAAAATATATAAAATAAATAAAAATAAAACTAAACAGTAAAACGCAAAATTGTCTGATTTTAATTATACCTTTTTTTTCTTTTTGCTTTTTTTTCTTGATAATATAATATATTGTTATTTATTAATATATCTTGTAATTTGATTTTTTACAAATGTTCTTGATATAATAAGTTATAATTCTTGTTCTTATGGGTTATAACTATATATATAAATAATTAATTAATTTATTATATTATGTGTGTGTGTGTGTGTGTGTGTTGTTAATTTTGTTGTTGTATAATATACAATTGGTGTGAGTGAGCGAGTGATAGTGTGAATGATGTGATTGAAGTGTAATGAGTGGTTTGGAATGAAATGAATGGTTAAATTGATGTGTGTGTAATATACTTTTTTAATGTATTATTTATCTATCTATTATGTTATGTATGAATAAATATTTTAAATTAATTATTTAATATTAAAAATTATTATTGTGTGCGGAGAATGTGTGAGGATGGGTGTGGGTGTGTGGGTGTGGTGTAACAATTAAAATCGTCTTAGAGAGTAAGGTAATTGAGTATTAAGTAAATGTTATGTGCTATTATTACTTCTATTACTACAACTACAACTACTGCTGCTTATTATTGCTTTAATTATAAAAATATGCTATATTTTAAAAAATATAATTTTATATAAATTAATGCACACAATTTCAAAGACAAATGTGTTACACTTGTTGTTGGTGTTGTTTTTTTTGTGTATTAAAAAATAAAAAAAAAAATTTTAAAAAAATTAAAAAAAATAATAAAAAAATTTAAAAAAAATAAAATTTTTTCATTTTTTTTTTTTTTTTTTAATTTTTTTTAAAAAAAATAAAAAAAAATTATTAAAAAAAAAAATAATTATAAATAATTATTTATATATTTGATCAAATAAGTTTATACTCTTTTTATTTTATTTTTTTTTATTTTTTTTTTTATTTTTTTATTATTTTTTTTTATTTTTTTATAATTTTTTTTTTCATTATAATTAAATAAAAATACTCTATTTGTTTCTTTTTTTCCAAATTTAAAAAAAAAAAAAAAAAAAAAAAAAAAATTTAATCTAAATTTAGATTTTTCAATCCATTGAAATAAAGTCTCAATCTTGCTTTAAATAATAATGTGTTGAGATCCACATGATTTGAACACTAAAAAAATTAAAAATAAATAAATAAACAAAACAAATAAATAAATTAAAAATAAATAAAACACAAATTTGATATTGTTATTATTTGTTATAATTAGATTGTTTATAACTTTGTTTATTTTCAATTTTTTATGGTTGTGAATCACACCATAAAATAGTTATTCACACGAATTTTAGATTTTTTCGTATTTTTATAAAAAAATAAAAAAAAAAAAAAAGATTTTTTGTTTTTTTTTTTTTTACCAATTTTAAATTGAATTTATTTTTCAAAAAAAAAAAAAAAAGATATTTTTATTGGATTATATTATTATTATTATTATTATTATTATTAATCAATAATTGATAATGATTTGATGGTTTTATTGTTGGTGCATGAGGGACATTTACAGGTGAACATGTGTGTTGTGTTTAAAATTGTTTTTCTAGTTTCTGTATCTAAATCAAAGCCATCTAAATAGGTTATAAATAATTCTTCTCCTTTTTTGATTGGTCTTCTTGTGCAAAAACGAATTGATTTATCATTTACAACAGGTGTTGCAATAAATATATTTGGTTCGCAAGAATGATTAAAGAAAGAGGCTTGTTGTAAAATACTGAAAACTGTTCTTGATTGAACCTCTTCAAAATCAAAATTCCATCCTAATTCATCCATTGGGTTTCTTTCAGATAATACACGAATGGTACTAGTTGGGAATATTAATGCATTTAATTGTACAATACTTTTTACACGTTGGAAGATATCTGTGGTGATTTCACGATTCATGAAAATATTTTTCATTAATTGGAACATTTTATTATCTTGTCTGGTGAGTGGTGTTGAGTGTTTTTTTGTTGGTGTTGAGTGAACTAAACGTTTAATAAATCCATCTAACTCCATTGGACGGAGTGGTGAATTTTGATCACCTGCATTGAATTGAATTGAAAATAATCTAAGCATTAAAAGGTATATTGATTTGGTGTCATCGTCTAATTTTTCGCATTCATGATAAAACTTTAATAAATAATTGTGGAATGAATTCTTTCCGCTGCAAACCAATGAGTGATGTTGAATACCTTCTGAGTAGCAATCATTTGAGCAAAATACTGCTTCATTACAACTTGGACATCCTACACCAGAAATATCACCAACTGGTAAATTAGTTAAACGATGTAATGTTTCTTGAATTTTAAAGAATTCTTTTGATTTGGAAATTTCTTTTTCATTTTCTAAACTTAATGGTTTTAATGATAATTGACAATGATAACAATGATCACTCTACATTAATATAAATATAAAAATGAATATTAGTATGGTAGTTGATTTTTAAAATACTTTGAAAACAAAGTTGATGCTTACATCATGTTTTTCTACTTTGTTTTTAACTAAATTGGTTGGAATTGAGATAATTGCTGGAATTTCAAAAAGTAATTCTTCTTCATCCATATCTCTTGTTGCAAAAATACCTCTACCATGAGTTTGTGAACTTTGAACGGTTGCATTATCCATTAAAGTTGATGATACACCTTTAAAAAATTCATAATCATCTTCATATGTTGGTACTATAACAGTTTCTGGGTATAATAAAATTTCAACCTTTTTCTTTAAATCTAAAACTTTTGGATCATTGATTAATAATAATGATCTTTCGAATGCAATAATTGATTCATGATATTTTCCCATTCTCATAAAGCATAGACCTTTAAGTGTATATGATCTAGAAAGTTTTTTATAATGGTCGGTTAATACAATCACTATTGTGATAATGGTAGTAATGTTTAAAATAATACTCACTCTGATAAATATTCACCATCAAGTGAAGTTTTAATAACTTTGTCACAATCTTTAATTGCTTCTTCAAAACGTGACATCTCTTGAAGTAATGTAGCACGTTGTAGACGAATGTGAACATCGTATGGTGTTTTTGTTAATATCCAATAAAGTCTTTTTAATGCCTCTTCATGTTTGCCTTCTTTAATTTCCTTATTTGCTTTTTCTTCTTGAATCTTTAATTCATTTTCAAATTTTAATGAGCTAAAGTCTTCATGTTGTCTTAAAACCTCTTGTCTTTCTTTTGTTGATTCTGGCATTTTAATTTTATTTTCATTGCTTTTATCTCTATACATTTCAATTTCTTTATCAATAATTGCTTGTGTACGAATTGTTCCTTTTGGTGCATCCACATTGCCTACATCAAATAAACCTGTTGAATAATTATTTACATATTGGCTTCTATTATAGTTGTTTATTAATTTATAAAATGATCTTTTGTTTATTCTATTTAGGTTTAACATTTTTATGATTGTGTATATGTATCGAAAAACCAAAATTAAAAAAAATAATAAAAAAAAAAAAAAAAAACGAGTAGTAGTTTTTTTTAATTTTTTTTTATTTTTTTTTATTTTTTTTTTTAAATTTTATTTTTTTTTAATTTTGGTAAATGATTAAACGATTAATTATTACTATTATCGCTGTTATTTTGTACAAAATATTTTTATTTCACTTTTTTATTTTTATTTATTTTATTTTATGTTGGTTTATTCATAGTATCTGATAATCCATTCGCAAATAGCAGAGGCTTTTGGTTGGTTTTCGACCTCAAAGGTTAATTTAATGACAGCTTGAGCACCACCAGAAACAGAGGTTAATTCTTGGAGTTCGAATTTGCATCTTAAATTTCCACCGACTGGGACTGGTGAAAGGAATCTAATTTTGTTAAAACCATAGTTAACACCATATTTAATACCTTCGACATTTGGCATAACTTCTTCAGCAAACATTGGGGCTAATGATAATGTTAAGAAACCATGGGCAATTGGACTATTAAAATAATGATAAAGTTAATAAATGATCTAAAATATAGCCTATAGTGTTGGTATTTATTATCTACATACCCACCAAATGGTGATTCATTAGTGGCTCTTTCTGGATCAATGTGAATCCATTGGAAGTCACCAGTTGATTCTGCAAATGAGTTAACACGATCTTGGGTGATTTTGAAATAACTTGAGGTACCAATTTCTTTGCCAACTAATGTTTTTAATTCTTCTAAACCTTTAAGAGTTCTTGAGTTCTTTTCATTTCTTTGGGTTTGTGCTCTAATAACAAGTTCTCTTAAGGATGCATCTGTGTTGTTCATACTAAGATAAAAACTTTCTATTGTTAAAATTATTATTGTTAATACAAACTCTGGGCTTTTTATATATTATAGATATTAAATAATATGCATACCATTTGATGATGCACATAAATGATTGGTGAGACTGTCGACTCTTCTTTGTTGTTGTGGGTTCATTTTTAAAATTAAAATTTAGTTAAGTGATAATATAAAAAATAAATGAAAAAAATGAAAAAATAAAATTTTTTAAAAAAAAAAATAAAAAAAAAATTTTAATTTAAAAAAAAATAAAAAAAATTATTTATTTACAACATTTATTTCTTTTTTAGTAAAAAATATCCCAAATTTAATTTAACAAATAAATTTTATAATTGGAATATAAATATGGTTTTAAGTTTTTTTAATAGATAAATTGATTTAAATCTTGATTCAAAACTTTTGTCGATAGTGAAGAGGAATGCGGATAACTGATGACGGTGCCAATTAAACAATTGAGAAATCGTATTGTTTTCGATGGTTTTTCTTTAATATTAGTTTGTGTTTATATTATACATTTCCATTATTTTAAATATTCCATTTTTAAATAAAAAAAGAATAAAAAAAGAATTATTTATTTAATTTTTCCCAAAATTATTTAATTTTAAAAAAATAAAAAAAATAAATTTTTTTTTTTTTATATTAAATAAAAGTGTGTTTAATTGGAAAAGTTTATAAAAAAATAAAATAATTACAATAATAAAATTTATTACATACTTACATTTAATATTACCATTAAAACAATATAATAATAATCATAATCATAATAATAAAATCACACACAATATATTTTTAGATTTATATTATATAAATTAAGCTAAAAAAAAAAAAAAAAAAAAAAAAAAAAAAAAAAAATTGGGTACTAAACTTTTTTCTTTCTTTTTTTTTTTAACTTTTTTCTTTTTTTTTTTTTATTTTTATTAATTTTTTTTTTAATAAATAAATAATTTAATTAAATTTTAAAAATTTTTTAAAAATAAAAAATTTTTTATAATACTTTTTTTTCAGTAATTTAATTTTTAAACAAATAATAAAATAATTAAGTAATAAAAATAATAAATAATATTATAACAAAAACAAATCATATTTATAATTATTTTTTTTATTATTTAAATGATAATAGAAATTTTAACTTTTAATAACTTAAAAGAATTTTCATATTTATAGCATTAAATAATTTATTATTTTTTATCTTTTATAATCAAATCTTTTTTTTTTTTTTTTACTTGTAATAAAAATCATATAACATCAATACTATTTTCTTTTTGTACATATATCACATATTTATTTCTCTTTTCTTTTTTTTTTTTGTATAAACTATCACTATTTTTCAATTATAATCTTTTTCTCATAATTAAATAAATTAATAAATTAATAAATTAAACACCCAATATTTTAAATAAAATTTTTTTTATAAAATATTTTTTTTAAATTTATAATTATAAATTTTAAAAAAAGATGGATTGTAAAGTTTCAAAAAATCCATCAACAGCTGACATGGCCAGTTCAACAACAATTTTAAATTCAATGGTTCAAAATGAACAAGAGCAATTAATTAAAGCAATCAAAAAATCTGCTGAGGAAATTTTAATTAATAAACCATCCACAACCACAACCACAACAACCTCAAATACCCCTATGGCCCCAACAACAAATGAAAATGATACTGTAATCGAACATTTAAAACCTGAAGTAGAGTATGGCAACGTCGAATATAAATTACAATTAATTAACCCTTCAGCAGACAGATTAGAGCACTTGGTATCACAAATGAAATGGAGAATGGGTGAGGGCGGTGGTGAGTGTGTATACGAATTGGGTTTCTCAGATGACGGTACAGCAGTAGGTTTAAGCGATATAGATATGGAAGCATCATTGACTACTCTTAAATTAATGGCATCAAAATTAAGTGCAGATTTAACAGTTGTTCGGGAAAGACAAGGTATTAACGGTAAGGTTTTAGAAGTATTAGTAAGAAAGTTTGCATCTGAAGATTTTTCCGAAATTAGAATTGCTTGTGTTGGTAACGTAGATGCTGGTAAATCAACATTATTAAGTGTTTTAAGTCGTGGTCAATTAGACGATGGTAGAGGTAAAGCCAGAGCGTTTGTTTTTAGACATAGACACGAAATCGAAAGTGGCCGAACCTCTTCAGTTAGTCAAGAAATATTAGGTTTCGATAGTAAAGGTAAAATTGTAAATTATAATACTCAAATCCATTCAACATTGTCTCCTAGTGAAATTTGTGAACAAAGTTCAAAAATTGTCACTTTCATTGATTTAGCCGGTGTAAGTATTTTGCAAAATTTATTTATTTAAAACATAAAAAATAAAAATAAATATTAATAACTTTTCTACAAATTTAGCATGAAAAATATTTACGTACAACTTTGTATGGTTTAACATCGACATCTCCAGACTTTACAATGATGGCAGTTGGTGGTAATATGGGTCCAAATGGTATGGCAAAGGAACATTTAGGTATTGCTCTTTCTTTACGTATACCCGTCTTTATTGTTGTAACTAAAATTGATAGAGCACCAGAAAATGTTTTATCTTCAACTATGGAGGATCTTAAAAAAATCTTAAAGGGTCCTGGCGCTAGAAAATTACCTGTAGTAATTCGTAATCAAGATGATGTAGTTGTTGCTGCCAGAAATTTTGTCTCAGAACGTATTGTTCCAATTTTCACAGTATCAAATGTAACTGGTGAAAATTTGGATCTTTTAAGAAGCTTCTTAAATCTTTTGCCAGCTAAAAAAGAATGGGAAATCTTATCACAAAAACCATGCCAGTTAGATATCGATTCAATTTGGAATGTTTCTGGAGTTGGTACAGTAGTTAGTGGTACAGTAATCAAAGGTACTATTGAAACTGGTGATACCCTATTAATCGGTCCAAATGAAATTGGTGAATTTATACAAACTCAAATCAAATCAATTCACACCAAACGTTTGCCCGTTAAAAGAGTTAAGGCTGGTCAAACCGCAAGTTTAGCATTGAAAAAAATAAAAAAAGAGCAAATTAGAAAGGGTATGGTTGTCGTTCATCCTTCAACCAAACCAGTACCAACTAGAGAGTTTGAAGCTGAACTTTTAGTTCTCTTCCACAGTACAACAATTAATAAGAACTATGAAGCTGTTATTCACTGTGGCTGTGTACAACAATCTGCAAGACTTGTCGAAATCTACGATAAAGACGTTTTAAGAACAGGTGATCGTGCTAAAGTTAAATTTAGGTATCAAATTAGACCAGAGTTTTTAACAGTCGGTAGTAAATTCGTTGTTAGAGAGGGTCACTCTAAAGGTATTGGTCGTGTTACTTCAATTACACCATATGTTCATGAACCAATTAATATCACCACCCACAAGGCAAGCAGTGGTGGTCCTACTCATGGTCAAGGTCCAAATCATCCTACCAATACACAAGTTAGAAAACAAACAAGATCAAGAGCAAATAGATTAGCAGTTCAAACTAAAAAATAAAATGTTATATTATCATTAAAACAAATTATCAAAATATCAAAAAAATTAAAAGAAAACAATATTTAAAAATATGTTCAAATAAATAATATAATAATATAGAATATTGTTAAAATACAAAAAAAAAATTTATTGAAATTTTATTTTAACAGTTTTAAATATCATTAATTTTCTTTTCTGAAGATTTTTAAGATTTTTTTATTTAAATTTTGTAATATGATTATTAATAATTATTTTTAAAATTATAGTGGGGGAAGTTTTAATTTTTTAAAATTTTTTTTAATTATAATTATTTTTATATTTATAATTAAAACAATAAATGGATAACTTTTTTTTTTCTTATGATAATTATAATAATAAAAACTATAAAATAAAAGAATTATTGTATAGGAAATTTAAATTAAATAATGATTATAAAGTTGAGACCCTTAAAGATATAGAGCAGTTCAGTTTAATCTTTTTAAAAAATATCCCTTATTCAACATTGGATGCAACTGCAGGTCAAGATGAATATAATATCGATTATACAATATCATGTATCGAAAAAGGAGGTATATGCACACAACTAAACATACTTTTTGGATTGTTTTTAAAAGAGGTATTGGGTTTAAAAGTATTTTTAATGAAATCGGTTGAAGTTTCAAAGCATAATATTATAAAAGAATTTGGATTACATGTTCATAACGTTTTTATTTGGACCAATGGTAAGGTATATTACCACGATGTGGGATTATATAATTACAATTCATACTCCCCAATAGAAATAGGGAACGAAAATTTTACAACCTTGGAAGATGAATTATTATCGCAACCATTCCAGCATAGAGTAATAGAAAACCCAGATCAGGTAACAATGGCACCAAATTTCAAATCATATATTTTGCAAAAAAAGAATGGAAACACTTTTAAATCAATTATAGAAATTTCTTTAAATAAAGATTTAGGTAATACTGTTTCAATTGAAAAGCTATATAGAATTTCACGTACCTTTATTAAATTCAATAATAAAATTATTATAAAACTTTCAGATCATGGAGTTTTAATTTATTACAACAACATTTTCAAGATTAAAGCTCCAAATCCCAAAAATAATAAAATAATAAAAATAAATTACTATTATCAGTTGTGCGATATTTTCAAACAATATTTTAATATTGATTTAATAAACAATAATCATTATTCAAATCATTTAAAAATATCTAAATTATGATCATAAACAAAAAAATCAAAAATTAATAAAATAATATCTTTTTATTACTTAATAATTAATAATTATTATTAATTTTTTATATATATATCTGTATCATTATAATCCTACTTTTTTAAACTATAAGGTAACCCTAGAAATTTTAATCTTCTTTTGTTCATTTACCTTCTTTTGTTTGTCCCTTAATTGTTGGGTTTATAAATTTTTATGTTTTCTTTTTCTGTACCTTTTTTAATTGGCCAAATTTTAACACTTATTAATAAAAATTTTAAAAAAAATTTAATTAGTAAAATTTATAAATTTATTTATAACATTTTTTATATAAATAGAAAATCTATTATTTCTATTTTTATTATATTTTATTTTTTTTAAAAATTATTTTATTAAATTTTATTTTATTTTATTTTTTTTAATTTTTTTTTATTTTTTATATTTTTTGTTTTTTTTTAAAATGAAATAATTATTTCATTTAAAAAAAACAATGAACATGTTAGTTTATAATAAATTTGGTAAAATAGTTGATGCCTCAAAAGTAAAAGTTAGAGTGGTGTAGGTATTATCTTACAAACAATAAAAACAAAAGTATGTTAATATTAATTTTTTTACAAATGTAGTAATGGTATGAAAACACCATGTATAGATGTATGTTCAATGGATACATCATCAGGTTTTTGCAAAGGATGCGCCAGAAATAAACAAGAAATAGGGAACTGGAGCAGCATGACAAACGAACAAAGAGATGAAACGATAAAAGAATTACCAGAAAGAAAAAAATATATTGTATTACCAAAAATAATAAGCTATGAAGAATAAAAATGAATAAAACGAATAAAAATTGTGTACATATTTCTAAAATAAAATAATATAAACTTTATTACTAACTTAAATTATAATAAAATTTGTTTATTTTTTTTTTTTTCTAATTTTTCTTTTTTCTTTCTATTTTTAATTTTTAAATTTTTTATTTATTTAACAACTTTTAAATCAAAATCCCAAAACTTGAAGTTTTTTAAAAAAATTAATTGTTTTTAATTTTTTATATCATTAAATCAATCACAAAGTTTTTGAAATGATGCATAAAGGTACTCGCCATACTTCGAAATCAATTAAGATATCATACAAAAGACGACATTTATATTACCGGAGAAAGCGACCCCCAGCGAGTTAAGGCAGTTGTCGAAAAACAATTGTCAAGAATAACGTTGATTGTGATGCTCGAATGAGTGTCATATGAAACAAAAAAAACTCCTGGTTATACTTGCGAAAGTATAACCACAAAACTAATTAACACACTGGGCGAATCGCAAATATCAATTTCAAAAAAACTTTTTGCTAATTTTTTGTCTATCTATAAATTAATATTGTTACTGTGCACGAAAAAATCTGAAATTGGATTCATGTGATGTTGCTTTTAATTATCTTCACTTTTAAAAAAAAAAAAAAAATGTGATGTTAACACTTGACGGTTTTTTACCTTTTTAAAAGAGACTCTAAAAATATTGCTCGATGCAGGGATTCTTTTTTTAAATTAATTTTTTTTTTTTTTCATTTTTTAATTATTGTGTATAATTTATAATTTAATGAGTTAGCAATATTTTTTTACTGATTATCTTCACTTTTAAAAAAAAAAAAAAAAAAAAAAACCATTTTTTTCCCTCCCATTCAAAATTATTTAAAATTATCCTAAAAAATGGGTTTTGATTAAAAAAATTATCAATACATTTTTAAATTTTAACCCAATCAACCTCAAACTTTAATAAATCAACCACCAACCGGATGCTTATAATTATAAAAAGAAGAGGAGGAAAAAAAAGTAAGGAAATCAGTTCCTTTTAAAATAATTATGGAGTCATTAGGAAATTCGTCAAATAGCGAATATAAAATATTAGAACAACAATTAAAATCAAAAGAGTTTTTATTAAACTATTCATTAAATATTTTAGAATCCATTGGAATAATAAAATTTGTTTAGTTTTTTTTTTTTTTTTTTTTTTTTTTTTTTTGAAAATATTGTGGGTTGCCAATATACCTTAAATATAGATATCATTGAATGTAATGATGATATATAAATATATTATTTTTTATTTTATTTCTATTTATTCTTTTTCTTCTTTTTCTTTTTGAATTTTTAATTGGTCAATTTCTCTTTGAACTGATTGACATGCTAATTCAATTTCTTTATTTTTATAAACTAAATTTAACCATTTGTTTTCATGTTGTCTAATTTTTTCGATAGTGTCCTCTTGCTTAATCTTTCTTTGAATGTTAACCTCTTCAATCTCTGCTTTCTTTTGTTCCAATTGCTTTTTTAAAATTTTTTGTAATAACTCTAAATCTGATAAATAAAGTTTCCATGAATTTGCACCATATCTTTGTAATAACTCTAAATTAATCTTTCTAATATCCTGATGTTCTAATTGTGATCTCGCATTGTTTAAACTTTCGTTCCATATTTTTTCATTTTTTATATTTGCACCTGTTGGTGATGTAACTTTATATCTATTAATATCAAATTCATCCATTTTTCTATTTTCTTCCATTCTTTTAAAATCATTTTCTAAAAAATTAAAACTCTTTAAATAAAAATATGTTAGCTATCATATGAATTTCTTGATGTTGGTTATAAAAATGATATTGCAATATATTTACCTTATAATCTATATCTACATGCTGTGGTAATTGTGATAAATAATCTGGTGGTGAAAAAGTAGCTTTCTCTTCGTCTATTAGTTTTTGGATGTATATTCTTTCATCTAAATAATAATAATGAATAAAAGTGAGGTAATATTATATTAGTATTAATGATAATGATTGGTAATATAAAAAAATAAATTAAAAAAAAAAAAAGAGGGAAAATCTAATATTGAATGATTTACTTACTTTCAGTTATTTCATCATCAACATATGGTAATGAATCTATATTCTCTGAACCTTCAATAACTATATTCATTTTTATTTATTTATTTATTATATGTGTGTATGTAAACTATGTATTTATAATTATTACCAGAATGTTATTTATATGTACACTAATTATTATTGTTTTGGAGATATTACTATTTACAAATTAAAAAGAAAGATATATTTATTTTTATTATTATTATTACTATTTACTGTAATTTATTATTGTTTTTAAAAATAGTACTATTATATAGTTAGTCTTTCTTCTAGTTAGTTTATGTCGAAATTTGAAATATAATTATATTTTAAAAAAAAAATTTTAAAAAATTTTGTTTTTTTTTTTTTTTTTTTTATTTTTTTTTTTTTTAAAATTTAAATTTTTGCAAAGAGAAAAATACTTAACGTATTTGAATAAATAAAATTTTTATTACAATCATTGATTATTGCTTTATATATATCTTATTTAATAATTATTTTCAAAATAAATAAAAAAATTAAAAAAAAAAAAAAGAAAAAAATAATTTTTGATTAAAAAAAAAAATATAAAAATAAAAAACCAATTTTAGAAAAATGTCTATTTTTATTTTTTATTTTAAAATTTATTATTTTATCCTTTTTTTATTCAACTATTTAATTTTGGTAGTATAAACCAAATTGTCATTGATTGTTTCATGTTTATTGATTAATGTTGATACTCTTTGATTATTATTGAAAATACTTGGTGTAGTTGTGGGTGATGGTATTTTTGGGCTGTTATTCAAATTATTTAAATTATTATTTTTACTATTATCGATACTATTATTAATATTTCTATTATTGCTAATAATATTAGTAGTACTATTACTAATACTACTATTATTATTATTATTACTATTACCAATTTTAACATTATTACTAATAAAACTATTTCTGATATCGCTATTGCTTTGACTGTTACCTAAAGATGATGGCATATTAACTACATTTGCTGATAATGGTATTGATTCGGGTGCTACCTTTTGGTTGAATCGTTCTGAAAAATAGAGTTTTGATAATGATTTTGGTAAAACATCTTTTCCTATTACTTGATTAAATTCATAACCAAATTTAAGAGAAACTAGACCCTTGGGCAATACTCCAAATCCAATTGCTTGATTGTATTTCCATCCGAAACGTAATTTCTCCAAACTTTGAGGGATACTTTTAATTCTAAGGGGTTGGTTATAATAATATCCAAAGTTTAACTTTTTCAACCCCTCAAGTAAAACATTTGGCATTATCATTTGATTAAAGTCCCAGCCAAGAACTAATTTTTGAAGATATGGACCAAAACAACCTGGTTCAAGTGGTTGATTAAATTTCCATCCGAAATACAATGAGTTTAATTTACCTGGAAGAACACCTGGAGCAAGAATTTGATTAAAATCATTTCCAAAATGAATAGTGTACAATGATTGAGGTAAAACACCTGGAGTTAAAATCTGATTAAAACCCCAACCGAAATGAATAGAGTACAATGATTCAGGCAAAACATTTTGTTTGATGGGTTGATTATAGTAGAAACCAAACTTTAGTTCGAAAAGTTGAGGTGGTAATATTGATTTCTCTAAGACTCTATTAAAGTTATCACCAAAATACAATTTTTTCAAAGAGATTGGTAAACTTCCATACTCTAAATCTTGATCCCATTTATTCCCTAGAATTAATGTATGAACAGAATTTGGAAGAACACCAGGCTTGAGAGCTTTATTAAAGTTATTTCCAAACTTGACGACTTGAATATTATCTGGAATTGAGCCAATAGATATTTCATCTTGGAAGAATAAACCAAACTCTAAATAGTTTATAGAGCTTGTTATTTTTTTAAAATCTTTTGAACAGCATATTAAAAGTTTAGATGTTGCAGATACTGTTTAAATAATAAAATGTTAATATATTATTTATATTTCTTTTAATTACTTTAATATAAACATTTTAATACTTACTTTTCAATTGACTTGAATTCAAAGATATATTACTATAACTTTCATTTAATTTTGAAATACTGCTACTACTTTCATTTAATTTACAAGAATTATTACTATTATTTAAAAATGATATACTATTGCTTTGGTTTAAGTGACTATTATTATTATTATTATTACTATAGTTTATATTATTTTTGAAATGATTTTCGAGTAATTTAATTAACTTTTTATTTATAATTTTTGATGTGATTTCCTGGCTGCATAATTTACAATTGATTGATGAACCGATACATTTCTTACATAAGGTATCACCACAACTTAATACATGCGGTTCATCATAAATATTATTACAAAGCTCACATAAAAGATATTGATATAATAAATCCATATACAATTATTATATATTAAAATTATTTTATATAAATTGATAATTTGTATAATAAAATATATTTTTGTTGTTGTTGTTGTTGTTATTATTATTGTTATTATTATTATTTGAAATATTTATTTTGAATTGATGATGCGAAAAAATAAAAAATAAAATGGGATGAAGAAATAAAAAAAGACAATAAACCCAAAAAAAAAAATAATAAAAGTTGTAAAAAAAAAATTAATATAAGTAAATTAAAATAAATAAAATAAATAAAAATAAATAAATAATTACAATTTGTTAATATTTAAATAACAATAAATCATATAAAGTTATCATTTATCCAATAGAATTTGATATTTTACAAAAAAATTTGCTTTGTGGTTAAATTAAAATTTTGCTTGTGTTAATTTATTAGTTAATTATTCTGTATCCATTCGCCTTGTAACTACTTTTTTTTTTTTTTTTTTTTTTTGAAACAATATAAATTTATCAAATTTAACCCCTATATAAAGTGAGAAAAATAATTAAATAAAGTGTGTGTGGGTGAGTGAGGTAAAAGAAAAGTGTGGGTGGGTGAGTACGTCTCATACATACAATTTTAAACACATAAAAAATATAAAAAAACACACATTGACACACAAATACATACATTCAAATAAAAATATAACACCAAACACTTAAAAATTACACTTAAAAAACAATATACAATAAAAAAAATATATATGTTTTCAATGTATTTTTTTAAAGTACTATTGTTTTATGTTTTTTTGTTTTTTTTTGGGAATATAACGAAGATACAAAACGATTTATATTCAAATAAAAAACTAATTGCTAAAGTAAATAAAAAAAAAATGTTTTATTTTGAAAAATAATTTACTTAAAAAAAAACTATATGATAATGATCTGCTATAACCTAAAAAATGAATTAAATTATAATGTAAATGATTTGATCATTATATAAAATTTTATAATAATATTTAATTTTAATAATTTTAAAATTATAATTATTTTTTTTTAAATATTTTACATCCTGTTGAAAATTATTTTTTATATTTTTTTTTTTTAATTTTATTTTTTTAAAATTTTTTTTTAATTTTTTTTTTTTTAAATTTTTCTTTTTTTTTATGTTCATAAATTTTTTTTCATTTTATTTTTACAAAAAATAGTAGGTTTTAACCATATAATTATTATTTTATTTTTATTTTTAAAATTCCATTAAAATATTAATATTTTATTGTTTTTTTATCAACAGTATATAATTTAAAAATGTCAGTAGCAGAACAAAAAAATCATATGGAAGTCCCAGTTGGTGATCTTTCAAACCCACAAGTTGTAGATTATTATAGAGATGCTGCCAATATTGCCAACAGTAAGTAATCTTTATAAGATAGGAATATATTGTTAAATATTCAGAAAAATAAACCTAAAAGTAGAAAAATAATGAAATTGAATTCTAATTAAATTTAAAAAAAAAAAAAAAAAAAAATTTTAAATTAATAAAAAAAAAAAATTCAAATCAAATCCAAATCAAATCAAACTATATCAAATTAAATATCAAATGAATTCTTAATATCAAATTAAATTAAATTAAATTATAGATGTTATCAAACACGTTATTGCCAAATGTGAAGCTGGTGCATTAATTGCTGATATTTGTAAATATGGTGATGATTTAATCGAAAGTGAAACAGCTAAAACCCACTCAAAGAAAAAGATTGAAAAAGGTATTGCTTTCCCAACTTGTATTTCAGTTAATAATTGTGTTGGTCACTATTCACCATTAAAAGCCACCAGTCGTTCATTAGTTGATGGTGATATCGTCAAAATCGATTTAGGTGTTCACATCAATGGTTTTATTGCCGTTGGTGCCCATACTATTATTCTTGGTAACAGTGCTACAAATGTCAAAACCGGTAAAATTGCTGATGCCATTTGTGCTGCTCACTATGCTTTAGAAGCTGCTGTTAGATTAATCCGTCCAGGTAAAACCAGTAACGACGTTACCCAAATGATTGAAAAAATCTCAAATATGTATGGTGTCACCTCAGTCAGTGGTATCCTTTCACACGAACTCAAACGTTTCATCATTGATGGTGAAAGAATTATTTTCTCCAAACACGAACCAACCCAAAAAATCCAAACTTTCGAATTCAAAGATTATGAAGTCTATTGTATCGATATTGTTATGAGCACTGGTGAAGGTAAAGCAAGAGAAGAAGCTGATCGTCCAACTATTTACAGAAGAAACATTGATAACCCATACAAATTAAAGATGAAGACCTCTCGTGAATTCAAAGATGAAATCGTTAAACGTTACCCAGTTCTTCCATTCCCATTAAGAAACTTTGATGAAAAGAAAGCTAAATTAGGTCTTGGTGAACTCGTTGAACATCAAGTCTTAGCCTCATACCCAGTCCTTTTCGATAGATCAGGTTGTGAAGTCGTTCAATTCAAAACTACCGTTTTAGTTTTACCAAATGGTAACCAAAAAATTATTGGTACCGAACTTGCCCTTCCATTCGTTCGTTCAGAATTCACCATTAATGACGAAGAAGTTAAACAATTAGTCGTTGCTCCATTAAAAATTAATAAAAAAGCTGCCAAAAAAGAAGAACCAAAAACCACCGCCAATTAATTAAATAAAATTTAAAATTACAAAGTTAAATAATATTTTTAGAAACAGGTTTTTTATTTTTTTTTATTTAATTTTATCTCTTTTTATAAAAAGAAATAATCTATATTGTTTTATTTTTTTTATTTTTTTTTTTATTTTTTATTTTTTATTTTTTATTAAATGAATTGTGGTAATAAAAGGATTTCCATATATTTATTATTTATTATTTTGATTGTTTTGATTCTAATTATCAAATACAACTTCATATTTACAAACTGGACAAACTGATTTAATTTTAAGCCATTTTTCGATACAATCTGAATGATAGTGATGAATACATGGTAAAGTTCTAATTAAATCATTTACAACAAACTCATCTAAACAAATTGAGCAAACTTTTTGTTGTAAATCCTTTGAGCTCCCACTGTTTAAAAAAGTATCCAAATCCTGTTGATTTTCAATATGATGAATTGGTAATAAATCTATTTGTTCCTTTTTGGCTCCTCCATGTGGTGTTATATCATTGTCGAGTTGTAATAACATATCATAGTCTATTTTAATAATAATATAGTATAAATTTATAGTTAGCTATCTAATTATTTATATCCAATTGTTTATATGTTAGCTATATTTACCATTTGAATCGAAATCTCTATCTATTAAAGTAAGTTGTAAATTAAGTGGTGGGTTCATTAGATGTGAAAGTCTAGAGAATTGAGAATTTGGGAAAAATAATCTGGTATGATGACTATGGCTATGACCACTATTTGAACTATTGTTACTGCTATTATTGTTATTATTATTACTATTATTATATGGCGTATTTCCTGGGTAGAAATAACCACCATTAACTTCTATTATTCTTGAATTGTATCTTAAACCATACCAAATTTGGAGAAATGTTCCAGTAACCGCTATTAATGCGAGGACCCATAATAAAAAAACTGGGGTTAAATTTACAATAATAAAGATAATAAATGAGATAGCTGATACTATTATAAATAAATTGAAATTGAATTATGATC